CCCGCCACCTTAGGTGTATGTGGCTGGCGCCTTAGCCACTTGAGCCACAGGCGCCGAGCCCAGGGTCCTGTTCTTTAAAGGAAAAGTGATGCCATGCAGTGCAGTCTGCAGTGAACACTGGGTATGTGGGTGGGCCCTGTGTATGTGCAGGGTCCTTCCAAGGCCAGGTCCACCTCTCACTATCAAGGGTTTCTACTCCAGGAGGCTCCCCCCTTTCCGTTCTGCTGACAGCTGTCCAGGCTAGTTATGATTAGCGCGAGTCGTTAGAAACCTTCATTTCTCTATCAGTTTTCTCAAAGATCTTGGTTCATCCTCTCTGAAGACTCTCCATCTTTTACAGAATCCCAGGGTGAGTTCCCTTATCCTGGTGATCTAAAGCCACAGGAAAAAAAAGTCAGCATCAATCTCCTTGTTCATAAAACAAAGAGACTAGACTAGAACGATCTGGAAGATTCTTTCATACTCTTCTCTATGAGTCTAAGTGGGGTGAGACTGCAGCAGAATGGTTGGAAATTAGCTAACAAAGGGACTCCTGGATGTGAATGATGTTAACAAAAGGAAGCCTAAGTTAGTGCTGCTGAAGAACTTCTATTTTGATTGTTAAGTCGGTAAATTGATCATAAAGGGGGATTTGGAAATGTTTAAAGGATAAGAGGCTCCTGGTTGACAGCACGCAGTGAGACGGCAGTATAAGAAGCGAAGGCTTCCCTTGTCTCTCTTGTTCTCCGCTTCCAGTTCTTTCTACCGCACTCCCGAGGAAGTTCCCACGGACAGAGCCGGATTATCCGAAAGGCATACGCGGATGACTTTTACACCCAGATGATGGATGAGTGCTATCGGATATGGGCCCAGCTGGAGCAGGAGTCTGGAACCCAGCTGTACAGGTGAAGGAATTCCTGGGATTGTGGGCCCCACACCTGGAGGTGCATTTAACGTGAGATGGCAGCACCATTAACACTTGCAATGAATGCTTTGGGAGGGACACAGGCGGAGAAAAGTGCCGGACGCTCGGACGCATTGTGCTCAGTGTCCTTGGGTTACCCCACAGGTCCACTTGGCTTCTGCCTGGGCTCTGAGTTCTAGGACTGGGCTCAGGCCGCGCGACCAAGGCTAGCTGGAGAGGCACAGAGCAGGGCAGGCCTGTAGGGATCTGCTGGAGGTTGTACCATTGTCTCTGCAGAGCCCTCTGAGGCTTTCAGGGCAGGGCTGGGATAGAGGAGGCCACTGCCTGCTGAATTCTTTATACTCCTACCAGTTTCATGACTTTTCATGCTGGGTCCTTACCTCCTTAGAGACCCCATAAATCTGTTTCTTTCTCTCTGAATACTTTCTTTCTTTCTTTTTTTTTTTTTTCTCAATACCTTCTGTAGGAACAAAATGGGGATGCAACTCAGGCTGGGTTGCTTGCCTGGCAGTGAGCCTGTGCCTCTCTCTCTGTGGCCTTCATGGTTTTCTCTAACCCTAAGACTCCTTCCTCCCTCACTGACCTTTGGAACACTCAGGGGAAGGTCCATAACCTGTGTTGCAAATGGGAACTTTAATCACCCCATCTCCCCTCCCACCTCCTCTGCGACTCTCATCTGAACTCCCAACACACTGTGGCTCTGCCCTACAGGGTGGCAGTTACTGTAATGGACGGGAACCAAGAGGTTACTGTTCTGTTGCAGAAACACCATTAACTTAAGAACTAAGTGAAATCCATTATGCAAATACAGCCGGGGCAGCTAATTACAGATTTATTCAGAGGCAGCTAATGCACACAGCACCCAAAGAAAGGAACATGTCTTGCTGCGGGGTGTCCAGGCAAAGGGACCCTGCTCTGTCAGCTGTCTGTGAATACTACTGAGTAGCTGATGGTAAAAGAATTGCCCTGGGCCTTGGAGATGTGAGAAGAGTATCTGGAATCTCTCTGAGGGAAGCAGATTCTGGAGTCAGACAGGCTTGGGTTTGACCTTGTGCTCTAGCCCGATACCAGCTGTGTGATCTTGGAAAAGTTTCTTTACCTCTCTGTGCCTCACTTTTTCTTTTAGGGATCTGTAAGGATTAAACGGGACTTTTTTCTTTTTCTTTTTTGCAGTTTTTGGCAGGGGCTGGGTTTGAACCTGCCACTTCCAGCATATGGGGCCAGTGCCCTACCCCTTTGAGCCATAGGCACCACCCGACTTTTGTAAAATCCTTGGCACAGTGCCTAGCACCTGTCAATAAGTGGCAGTCTCTTCCCCCTATTCAGGGTCAGCTACATTCTTGTTCCACTGAGCCAGGAGGAAGAAAGCAGGGGACACAGAAGGTCTGCAACCATCATGGACAGCCAGGGTGCAGGAGAAAGGGAAAGGGACCTTTGCATAGGAGACCCCCAGAAACTCACAGTCTTCCTCTTTGTCAGGAGGACTAGAATTTGGAATAGCTTTGGGACTGGTCAGGCTTGGCTGTAAATCTCAGCTCTGATGCACTTTGCTTTGTGGTTGGGAGTGAGCCGTGTAACCTCTGTGAACCTTGGTTTCCTTGTCTGCAGAGTGAAGGTTATAATACCTATTTCACGGGCCTGTTGTGAGGATAAGTATGTAATGGGCTTAGAACTAAGGGGAAAATCATCACCATCATCATTCTCACCACATATTTAGTGCTAACCATGAGAAATTAGGAACTAGCCGTAGTGGCTCACTCTCATCATCCAGCACTTTGGGAGGCCAAGGCAAGAGGATCATTGAGGCCTAGAGTTTGAAACAAGCCTGGGCAGCATCACCAAACCCTGTCTCTACAATTCGCTGGGTGTGGCGGGCACCTATGACTAGCTGCTCAGAGGCAGAAGGATAACTCGAACCCACTTGAGCAAGCTACAATCACGCCATGGTACTTTAGGCTGGGTGACAGAATGAGACCCTGTCTCTAAAAAGAAAAACAAAACAAAACAAAACAAAAAAGAAAATAGGGGCTAGTCTAGGTACTTGATATATATAACTCACTTAAGTCCCCTCATAATCTTATGAGAAGGTTGTGCTACTGAGTAGTCAGTGTCTTAACTTGTTAATGTCACAGAATTACTATATTCTTCATCTAGAACAGGAGTTGGCAAACTTTTTCTGTAGATGGCTGCATAGGAAGTGTTTTAAGCTTTGCAGGCCACGTGGTCTCCGTCACAACTATCCAACTCTAACATTGTAATGTGAAAGCAAGATGTAGATAAATGAGCCTAGATGTGTTCCCAAAAATCTTTATTTATGGACAATGAAATTAGGATTTCATATAATTTTCATGTGTCATGAAAAGTTATTCTTTTTTTTTTTT